GTTTGGTGACCCCCGCGGCGGGGCCTGGTCGTGGTGGGGGGGGGGGGGGGAGGGCGCGGCCGAGCCGAAGGGGCGGCTGGGCAGTGAAACGCAGCCGGCCGCGGGATAGTCGCTCTGGGAAATGGAGTCCTCCTCTCCGGCAGGGTTATTGAAGGCTTGGCTTTGAAACACGAGCCGCTCCGCGGCGGGGAACAATGCTGCGCTGTCAGAGAGATGGACTCAATTACTTAATAGGTCGTCGCTGTCTGTCTCCTGCGATTTTCCTTTCAAGAACATAGATCCAGCCGGGTTATTTCTCATGAGAAGACAAAGCGTTCTGAGAGGAGCCAGGCGTTCGGAGGGGAGAGGCGGGAGGAGCAGCAGCCAGGCAGATGCCCGGTTTGCTTTCTGCAGAGCACGCTCCTCAGGATGTGGAGAAAGCTGGAGTGATGCCGCTGATGTGGTATTTTGGTCCTGTAACCCTCTGATTCCCGGTCTCATAGGTCTCGCTTCCTTTCCTTTGCTCACAGAAGGTCGGCCACGTTGCTTTCTTCTGCCAGGCTCTGATCCCCAGGGCTGCTGGTGGTCCACACAGCGCTGCAGATGCTGCACGCGCCGTTGGTTTGCCAGGACACTCGGTGTTGGATGGCCACTTCCCCAGCGCCAACAGGTCCGTACAGCCCATCTCGGTGTATGGCAGCCACTCCTCTCACATGGAAAGGCTTTGGTCAATGGCAGCCAAGCTGGAGGAAAAGCTTGTGGCCAGGAACCCACCTCTGAGTAACAGCACGATTCTCCGTTGGCCGTATGTGGTGGACAGGGATGTATAATGGAGCTGGTGGCGCGTGTTCACTTTTGGACTTGATGATCTCAGAGGTCCTTTCCAACCATAATGATTCTATGGTTCTCCCTGAAACCACTCTGCCAGCCGCGGGGGAGCGTGTCGTAGGCACTTTGCTTGTCGGGGCAGCCCTGGGTCAGCCGCGGGGCTCTCGCAGCAGGCGTGTGCCTCTCTCTGCGTGTGCACACACGTGTCGCGTGCACGCCTATGTCCGCACATGCACACGTGTGTCGGCTGTGTGAGCGTGAGGGTGCACACACGCGTCTAAGGCATCTGTCTCTGTGCGCTCGTTTGTCACCAGGCAAAGACACGGCGTCACCTTACGCACACTGAACTGATGCAGCTAAATTGGCTGGATGCTCTTCAGCCCTGAGGGTGTAACGAGATTTCGCCTCTTTTGCCCATTTCTTTCTCTTTTCTTTTTTCAGAATAAGCCGTCTGTTTAATGGCACAGAGCCTATTGTCTTGGACAGTTTAAAACAACATTATTTCATTGATCGAGATGGTGAAATTTTCAGATATATATTAAGCTTCCTAAGGACATCTAAGCTACTGCTCCCAGATGACTTTAAGGTAAGGAAAGCTGTAGTCGGCAATCCATTTTTTCCTCCCATTCTGTCACTTGTTTTGGTGCAGGTTGGTTTGTGTGTTTGACCTAAACACCCTTAACTAAATGTTGCTGTTTATTGTTAGGGTTTTTAGTACATGTGTATTACACCAGGGATGCTATTATTTAATAAATGGACCAATGGTTGTCATGGATACCATAAAAAGTTAAACGATGGAGCTTACGGCTAAATCAGTTTTTCTAAACTAATTGTATTTTCTCACATTTTTAGCTTATTTATCAGGGTATAACAACAATTAAGAAGCAGCATCAGCAACTAGCACTTACCGGGGTTTAATGCTCAGAACCTGGAAGAAATGTTTTAAATTTGATACTTAGAGGACTTAAATTGTATAAATCTTATTCTTGTTGGTATAAAAAAGAAACACCCCTAAACAAGCCCGTGAGGATTTGTGTTAGATACAACCGATGCAGCTACTTCGATTTCAGGATGTAATCTTTTACACAGTTTATGAATGTCAAGATATTCTTGGGAGATGGAATTTACCGAGGGCTTTTTAAGGAGCAATACGTGTTTTCTATGAAATGATGGCGCTGGTTGTTGCTTTGCAAGTCCTGCTTGTTCAAACGCTCTCCTCCTAGCCTTGTTTATTTGGCTTTGCACTTAGGAAACTTGCAGCATTGTCATTCTTATGTACGAAAATTAGAAGACAAAAGTGTCCCAAACTATAGATGACAAGATTCAACAAAAGCCCTGACTTCAGGATGAAATGATGAATGCGTTGGGATGGCAACGGGGATCTGCGCAGTCAGAGGCCGTGGAGCGTGGCTGCGCCGTGCGGGGAGACGTCACGTTGCGTGCTGGCCTAGGTAGGCGAGATACTTTGGCCAGGCGTGACCGAGTCAGTCCCCATTGCTGGTTGCTGCGGTGGCTTCCGCCTTGGAGCACAGCTGGTGCCCGTGCTGCAGACCGCTCCTCAGCCGTCCGTGCCCAGGGTAGGGGCACAACCACGGCTGAGCCCGGTAAGGGCTGTTGGCAGCTCTTGTCGAGCAGGCGCGCTGTGCGGGGGGAGCAGGGAGAGGTCTCGGCACTCAGGGTGGCTCTGGAGCTCCGGCCCCGAGCACCAATCAGCCGGGGAGGCTGGGCGGCCGCGGAGCAGGGCAGGAGCCAGGGCACCGACGGGTGGGTGAATAAAAGAATAGGTATATTTGTAGCAGATT